ATATGTACTATTTTGGTTATTCCCCTATACTTCCCCAAGTATGATTAAAAAATATCTCAAACCAAAAAGAAACAAAAAAGGTAAACATATTATTTTCAAACGACCTTTCTCTGTATCCTTAGCTTTGTTCAAACGTATTGAATAAAGACAAAATAGGACATTTGAGCTCTTTATGTATCATCTTCCGCCTTCGCGGTCAATGTGAAACTTTGACACACGAAACACTTGTTTACAATGCATTCATAAGAAAACTAGATAACATCAGTCTTTATTTTAACTTTGTAGCCTACTCTATTTGTAAAATAATTCAAACATTTTGTCACAATCTGATAATTTTTACTCATCTTATAAACATAAAGCGATTCCTTGGTGGTTTATGGCTCTTGCTTAATGCACAATACTTTCATAGTAGGTCAAAACCATAAACATTAAATTGCAAACTCTAGATAGATAATAAGTTTTATTCCTCGCATTTGATGGTCATGTTGGTAAGTAAATAAATATCGCGCTTTATTTGAAAGATCTGAGTCTTCAATATCAATTACGTAAAATCATAAAATTAACAGGACTCTGACATACAAATGTAAAGGTTTTATTTTTGGATTCATAGTTACATGCTTTCGTTCTTATCATTTGAATATACATTTGTCAACGTATATTTATTGTTTGAATCTTTTTTGTTGGTAGGGAAATAGGCATGGTATATGAAACCGTCTGATATAAACTTCAATTTTAATGTGCGTATTGTAATGCGTTTACTTTTCTACATTGGCTAGAGGTATAGGGGGATCTCATAAACATGTTTAACCCCGCCGCATTTTTGCGCCTGTCCCAAGTCAGGAGCCTCTAGCCTTTGTTAGTCTTGTATTATTTTTAATTTTAGTTTCTTGTGTACAATTTGGAGTTTAGTATGGCGTTCATTATCACTGAACTAGTATATAAATTTGTTAAGGGGCCAGCTGAAGGACGCCTCCGGGTGCGGGAATTTCTCGCTGCATTGAAGACCTGTTAGTGACCTTCTGCTGTTGTCTGTTCTATGGTCGGGTTGTTGTCTCTTTGACACATTCCCCATTTCCATTCTCAATTTTATTATCAATGCTAATGCAAATCGGGTGCAGTTTGTCAATATATAAATACTAAGATGTGGTATGATTGGCAATGAGACAACTCTCAACCAGAGACCGACCAACTGACGTATAAGTTAGCAGTCAAAGGTCACCGTACGGCCTTTAACAACGAGCAAAATATCATACCACACAGCAAATAGCACGAAAATGACAAACGTAAACCAATTAAAACGGAAACACTAACATTCTGATTTATGTACAAAACACTAAATGAAAAATAATATGCCATACAGCAATAAATAAAGGCAACAGTAGTATACCGCTGTTCAAAAGTCATAAATCTATTGAGAGAAAAACAAAACGAACTGAGAAACGACTGAATTACAGATTTCTGAATAGAAATAAGAACAAACAGAATGTGGCGGGGTTAAAAATGCGCCCAACCTTCCCCGATCTATTACAGTGGTGTAAGAGGGCAACATAAGAACAAACTATAAAAATCTGTTTAAAAGGGCTTAACGTCATGAAATTAATACCATGCACAAAAACATTAACAAAATCTCAAAAGACACAACATACAAATCTGAGAGTACTCGCAGTTAGTGAAAGCTAGTTCTAAGACAATATCACATTTGATTACTTGTTATTGTTTAAGCTGTAAACAGTCGTTGTTTTTTATCATTTGGATTGTTTACATTTGTTCATTAAAGGTTCTTATAAAACGTACTATTCGGTATGGAATTAGGTCATAGTTGAAAGTCGTATAGTGACTTCAATTGGCCTACATCAATATCCCTTGGTTTCTGATGAGTAGCTGTTTCCATAAGAATCATATAAACAACATTTGCTAATTATTATATTAAGATTTTCATTTGCGATGAAATTCAGTCGAATAAGACTTGACAAGACTAAACCAATCGGTTCAGACTTGGTGTTGCTAGAAGTGAGCTGAAAACGAAATAAACATCTGCCATTAAAACCCAATACTCTAATAACAAACCACCAATGTATTGTAATCATGTTTAAGGAAAAACCTTAAATCATTCTGTTTACTACCAAGGCTTTTTTGTCGACGTCCTTGTCAGATATATTTGTATAATAAAATTGAGAATGGAAATGGGGAATATGTCAAAGAGACAACAACTCGACCAAAGAGCATAAAACAGCCGAAGGCCACCAATGGGTCTTCAACACAGCGAGAAAATCCCGCACCCGGAGGCGGGCTTCAGCTGGCCCCTAAACAATAATGTGTACTAGTTCAGTGAAAATGGACGTCATACTAAACTCCAAAACATATAAATGAACTAAAATTAAAAATAATACAAGACTCACAAAGGCCAGAGGCTCCTGACTTGGGAGAGACGCAAAAATGCGACAGGGTTAAACATGTTTAGTGAGATCTCAACCCTCCCCCTATACCTCTAGCCAATGAGAAAAAAACAAACACACAGCATTACGCACAGTAAAACTCAGTTTAAAAGAAGTCCGAGTCCAATGTCAGAATAGGTAACAAACGAAACTAAGTAAAATGACAATGATATATAGGTTAACAAAGGACTACTAGCAGTAATGTTTGTTTGATTTGTTTAAGTAAGTTGAGTTAGTATGTCTGTGATGCATGTTTACACAGTTTTGTATATGCTCCATTCAAATTATTGAGAAAGTATATTTAAAAAAGTAAAATAATAAAAATGCAAGTGAAATCCAAAACGGAAAGTCCTTTATAAAATGCAAAATCATAAGCTCAAACATCTAACGAATGGAAAACAACTGTCGTATTCCTGACTTGGTACAGGCATTTCCTTATTTAGCAAATGGTGGATTAAATTATGTTTTACTATTATACGATTTGTGCTGTTAACTACAAAACCTTTCAGATGTATTTATGTGTGCGCTTGAAGTTTTTATTAAGTTGAATATGACATTTTTTTTTTCATTTGTTCAGTTGGTTTTAATGGTCGAACGTTTGATTTAGTCAAGTTTTGTTGAATTCCCCTTTTTTGAACTTACCTTTGATTTCGGTATTTTTTGTTGATGTTTTTTTTTTTTTGGCAAAGTATACTCTTTTTGATAGGACCACACAGCTCTAAAAGACATTTTCGAAAAGTCGTCTACACAGGCACTTACAACGACACCGATGCCTACACTGACTACAAAAATATAGGGACCGTATCAAAATGTCGAAACATATTGAATGAATGACCTCGTAAAACTTGGTTGCAGGTATCTTATTCGGAATCTGCGCTAGAAACACCGAATGCTCTAATTAGTTTTGGATTATTTTAAGTATGAATATGTGATATTCCATTCATTTCTTTTCAATCTTTCAAACGGAATACCGTGAGTGTTGCGGTAGAATATACAATTGGCGAATTGAATTGCCAGAAAGCATTCGGAATATAGATAAAGTATCTAATTTCTGATGAAGCGAGCATATATCAAATCAATGTAAATCAACAGGTCTTAGGATGTGTAATGGACGTTTCGGTGACTCAAGTGTAAAATAAAAATGGTTGTTGTGTAAAATTCCACAAAAAAAAACTGCAAAAAGTAAAAACGAAATGCAAAAAGTAATAAAACAATTACAAAATTACAAAAACACTAAATGTTGCCAAAATAAAACAAAAACTTTTTTTGGCCGAAATTCCCCAAAATACAATGTCCAAAAACTAAACAGAAAAATTAAATTTTGACCCCTCCCCCCTTTTACAAAAAAAATACATGTATATCAAAGTTATATTTGACAACGCACAGCAACATCAGTGTTGAATTCATGTGAAGTGGAAGTTCTTCAAAAGAATTTTTCAACTTTATACCCAGGTATAAAGATTAGTAAAGGAAAGTTAATAAATTCGTTTTCCTAGTGTTATCAGGGGTGTACGGAATTTTACAATGCATTTTCGACACCGGTGCAAAATTCAGTACACCCCTGATTACACTCAGATAACACATACTATCATCTATATACTTATACATTCAGTTTCACGCTATAAAAGACTTTACACGTTCCTGTTTCGGATTAAAATCTTACTAATTTACGCAAAGCCCCCCTTTTTTTTACAAAGTACAATGTTAAGACCGGCTAATTCTCAGCAACTAAACAGAGATAATAAAGTAGCAGATCATTCAAAATAAAAAGTTTTATACAGTATTTAGAATGTAAATTAGAAAAAAAAATATAATATAAATGCGTGTGATCGTTGTACATATTGAGATGACCCCTTCTCAAAAAGGTTACCTGTAGGCATAGGTGTAGGTGTAAGCGTCGGTGTTGAATAGTTTTCGAAAATGTCTAATACAACATTAAAAAACTGCCTCTCTTATATATAAATTATTACCTTTTTACAAATTTAACAAATGTAAGCAGCTGCCGTTAGTTTGTTATACACTATATATGACACGAAGGAATCACATGTATTTACGACTGCTAAGCAAGCACTATAACACACTGCGTAACCGTAGATAGTTGAATGAAATAAGTGTTTGCTTGATACAATAGCCATAAGTTGCATGCTGTATTCAGCAAGTATTGAGTAAATAAAAGAAAAATAATAAAACATTTTATTACAGAAATATTATGTTATCAATATTTGCAGAAATAACATAGCGATATTACATTTCAAGTCAGACGCCTTAATTTGACACAATTATATAATATTTTTTGTCTTCAGATAGCTACTTTTTACATCTGACACACAACTTAAATCCAGTGTTGCAATACAAAAAAAAAGTTTGAGTCAAGGGTGAAGCGCTATTGTCGTTCTGTTATTGTCCATTCTATTTTCTAAAGACTATCATATTTATTTTGCTTTTTCAGTCCTTGGTATCTTCTTTCTTTTATTTTGTACCTTAAACCTATCAAACATCTGCGACTTGTAAGCAATAAAATGATTGGCCATACGTAAATAGTGAAATGACAAATCGGACACGTATATAAATATTAAGAGCGTATGAAAATCCCCCAAAGCTTCTTCTTCGACAATACCATACATTTATTTACACCGAACAGGTAATATTTTCTATATATTCGAACATTGGAGGCTCTATATAGATCTTGATTTTTTTTTTCAGAAAAAAAAATGGTTTATGTATTTTAATTACGCATTGTTGTATATGATAAAATGAATCAATGAAAATAATTCATGGTTGTATTCTTTTGAACTATTAACTTTTATTTTTGTTGAATGGGTGTTATTAAATTGTGAAATATTGTTTATATGCATTCTCTTATGAAAAAAACTATTACAAATTTGAACTCTTCGTTTCCTTTGGTTTACAGGTACGATTCTTTTTTGTTCAGTAAATTCGTGTTTGTTTCATTTTATTAATTAAGCATTGAGGAATTAGCTTTATCGTGATAGTTTTTCATTTTCTCAAATTTAATTCGATTGAATGGTTGTATTTGTTTATTTGAATATTTTATTTTACTACATCTTTATATGGTTGTTTTTTTATGCAGAGTGAAAACCACGAGAATGTACACCATGTCTGGCATTGCCCTTGGTATTTGTCTTGTGTCTATTTGTACGATAGTGCAGGGTGAGATATTTCTTTAAAGGGGCATTGGCTATCATATTTCATGTTCACCGATTTGACTCAAATTCTCATATTTGATTTATAACATACTAAAACGTATATCCAAATTATAAAGAGTCTAAAATAAATAATTTACAAGACATGGGCTCGATAATATGTAGCATTGTTTTGTGTGTATTTTAGTCTAGATGTCATCTAATGAATTATCGAGTTGACCTCCGAAGACTGTTGACGGTCATATAAGCGATATAAACATAAATATAGGTATAAATAGATAGCGAACTCATGCAATTGAATTTTGCTAGGTCTGTTTAATTTCATATTATAGGTTAAAAATGTGTTAATCATCGTTTTTACCTGTATAAGAATGAGTTTTTGTGGATTGAATTAGTCAATCAAATGAGTTACGTTTGTTTCCCTGTCAATGTTCTTTTTAACAACTGAACAAGCATAATTCATGTGTAATCCATCTCTAGCTAAGAGGTTAAATTGAAGGTCACATGAATACGGATTTAATGAGATCTAATTATTCACTTGCAAGTGAATAATTCATCATCGATGTTTCTTAGCTTATTTCGACAAAATTAAACCAAACTGGCTGCTAAAAGCGAATTGTTATTTCACTATTTCACTTTCATTAATGATTGAACAAAAAAAAATATATTTTTATTTTTTTATATATCTTGTAGCTAGTGCCCCTTTAATCTTTATTGTATCTTTTATATTTTAATGCATACTAAGTTGTTTTTTTCTCTATCTCTATCCTATGTCGGTGTTCGAAATATACACTAAAGTCTTCGGGGTGCTAGATAAATCATAAAAAGCATTATGGGTTAATTTAGGTCGGTGGAAAAAAGTTAAAAAAAACAAATAAAAAAAAAACAAAAAAAAAAAACAAGGCTCTTTTCTGTAAACATATCTTACGACTAAAATCAATCGTATGTGATTTTTATCTTAATCAGGTATGCATGAGTTCTCGAAAGAGTTTAAACAATATTTGATATTAAATCTAATCATTTATTATTCTTTTATATGAACTATTTCATTTCGATTATGTAAAGAAGATATTTAAAACAAATTCCTATAAACTTTAATGCAAAAATATGTATTCCATCAATGCAATTTGTATATTAAAAGTGTGTACATTCCCAAATGAGAGGCCCACACATACAATGCTTGCGTAAAATCAGTGGTTTCAATATTCAGTGACACACACGATGATATTAAAGCCTTTCGATAAAAATAGAAAAATATTTGGCACGAAAACCTAAGCTGTCACAAAATAAATTATCAAAATAGTTTTGTTCATACATTATATAGGAGATGGTAATTGTTCTACTTCAAAAATAGAGTCCTGTAACTCAGCATACATGAGCTCAATAACACAGGCAGTGCAAGACATGGCGAAAGTTTGCAGGTCAGATTTTGTTATTTGCCCACTTAATTATATAAAGAGTGCTTTATTGATAAACAAATTAGAATTATTAGAAAAACAAATTGACTATCGGCAGCAGATTCAGTTAAAAAATAACTTCGATACTTCTGTAGAAATATATTAATTATAAATGCATAAAACAGTGGTACATGTTTAAAATATCAATATGTAATTTTGATATTTAGATTCGCTTCTTTGATATTTCATTATTTTATTTATTTTAAAAACAGTGCAGTTGAAACCTTTATAGACTGTTTGGATAAAGCTTTCACAGACTGCAATATGGATGCAGGTACGACCATTACGGAAGCCAGGAAGGCTATTTACCATTACGGTTGTGGTAAGTATATTAGATCTTAGTTATCCTTTTATATATACCGACACGTTACTATAAATGGGCTTTCCACTTCATGTGTCTTATGAGGACAAAACGTATGTCTCACTTTTAAAATTATACACCTTATACAAATTTACCTTGACGTATTGTTTTCAAATTTTTTTAAAAAGCAGTGGCAGGTTAAAAATTATATATTGTTTTAATCATAGGCTCTTGCACTTGCTCTTGTATTTAAAGAAGACACTACTAGTAACCCCTTAAGTTAAATGAAAGATCGACACATCTCAAAAAATCGCAAAAAATCCAAACGAAATTTTACAGTATTGCCATGCTACTTATCGTATTAAAATTTATTTGTTTTTACAATATAAGATGTTTTCATCGAATCATGCTAGAGGAGAGACGACGGCCAGGGTGCCGTGTGCAAAAACTTTTCAGGTCACGTGGTTTGATTTAAGCTTCCGTTTTGGCAAATATTGTAAAAGATCGATTTGTTCGAATTTTAATCCGAGGTCAGTAAAAAAAAATACAAGGCATATTTCGTTAGTTCGTTAGTAAAAAACATCGAAATTTATAAATGTTAACGAATATTGTTCAAACGGCCTGAAACATAAAAGGTCTCCTTAAGTCTCCATCCGTTGCTGTATAGTCCCACGCTAAAAAACTACGATTTCCGAATAAAGTTGTTAAATCCGTGAGTAAATACTAAACTTTAGCCATACAAACCATTTATTGTGAATTTTGAATATACTCAAGATAAAATGAAAATGTTCACTCAAAAAAATATAAATTGCTTTTAATTTTTAGATTGTTTATTTTTCGGCATCTTGGTCGGCTTCGTTAGTGTGTTTTCTCATGTTTTTTTTTCTGATAATTTTTTTATAAGTTTTGACTCGTAAAGAAGCTCAAAATTATTCAAATGACTTTAATAAACGAGTATTCAATTAATGTGCATGTCGTACGAAAAAGGCCCCATGAATTAATAGTTGAATAAGGGGATATAGTTGTATATTCCCGCCAAATTCGTTTATTATGTTTACATGTATGTTAATTGTATAATCATTACAACTGTATTAACTGCTTTTGTTTGTGAATTTCAATTGACAAATTTTGACTGTCCAGGTGATGTTCACAGCACGAACTGCTTGTAATGAACGACACATTATCACCGCGACCGTTCGATAAAATAAGTCCAATATGCGTGCCGTCTGCAGAGTATCGTCCCTCCTATGGAATCATGCAATCAAATCATGAAAACTATCAACTGCATTATTGTCGACAAAACGACGTTAAGTCCAAGTGGTGGAGTTGAAATCATCACTTCGTAAATTTTACGGACACCATCACGAGTTGGTTGACCGTTATGGAATATCCGTTTCACAGATGACAGTCGATATGTTACAATTTATTTCCCGAATGTGACCTACCGAATAAGACTTCAAACCTGGTTTGGTATTAACATGATAAACACGACGACGGGTGCCACATATGGATCATGATTTTCTTACCCTTCTGGAGCACCTGAGATCGCTCCCAGTTTTTGGTGGGGTTCGTGTTGCTCAGTCTTTATTTTTCTATGATGGGTTTTGAGTACTTTTGTTTGTCTGTTGATCATTTCTTTTTTTAGGCAAGGCGTTGTCAGTTTATTTTCTACTTATGAGTTTGAATGTCCCTTTTGTATTTTTTGCCTCTATGTTTCATCCTTTCAGATTTCCTGTGTACTTATTTTATGATTCTGCCGTTGGTACATTATGTAGTTCTGTAAGACTCGTGTTACATATTTGTTTTTCGTTCATTTTTTGTACATAAATTAGGCCGTTAGTTTTCTCGTTTGAATTATTTTACATTGTCATTTCGGGACCTTTTATAGATGACTGTGCGGTATGGGCTTTGCTCATTGTTGAAGGCCGTACGGTGACCTATAGTTGTTAATTCTGTGTCATTTGGTCTCTTGTGGAGAGTTGTCTCATTGGCAATCATACCACATCTTCTTTTTTTATATTCGCCTCTCTGTCTTTGAAATTTTACAGTCGTTAGAAAAGTTATATGGCTGATAATTTAGTCTCATACAAATTACTAGCATATATTGCCTCTTACTTTATAAATCAACCAATTTGAACCCTCATCCAAAAGTTCTTTCTGTTTTATATATTTTTATGTTCTTTGTGTCGATAATTTAGTTAGGTACATGTTATCAAGATGCCAAAACCCCAAATGAATTTTTGCATATGCACATTTCATTGACAGAAGGATCTGAGCACATCTTTGCAAACATCTTAAGGTTATTATCTTTCTGGTAGGCAATACTTCAATAATATAACTAGGGCGTTTCCCCTACTGGTGGAATGACAGTTACTTAGGTTATCATCTGTCTAGTAGTTAGTACGCCAGTGTTCCAACTGGGGCACTTCCCTTATTCGTGGAATATCAGAAACTACGATTATCATCTTCCTCGTAGTCAGTACTTCAGGGGTACAACTGGGTTGCTTCCCCTACTGGTGGAATGTCAGACCTAATGTTCTCATATTTCTCGTAGTCAGTAATTCAGTGTTACTTCAGTAGTACAACTAGGTCGCTTCCTCTACTGGTTGAATGTCAGAACCTAAGGTTATCATCTTTCTCGTGGTCAGTACTTCAATGTTACTAAAGTAGTACAACTGGGTTGCTTCCCCTACTGGTGGAATATCAGACCTAAGGTTGTCATCTTTCTCGTGGTTAGTCCTTCAGTGTTACTTCAGTAGTACAACTAGGTCGCTTCCTCTACTGGTGGAATGTCAGTACCTAAGGTTATCATATTTCTCGTAGTGAGTAATTCCGTGTTACTTCAGTAGTACAACTGGGTTGCTTCCCCTTATGGGGAAATGACAGACTTAAGGTTATCATCTTTCTCGTGGTCAGTACTTCAATGTTACTTAATTAGTACAACTGGGTTGCTTCCCCTATTGGTGGATTATCAGACCTAAGGTTGTCATCTTTCTCGTGGTTAGTCCTTCAGTGTTACTTCAGTAGTACAACTAGGTCGCTTCCTCTACCGTTGGAATGTCAGAAACTAAGGTTATCATCTTTCACGAAGTCTCCAACTTCTGGAATGTCAGTACCAAAAGCTGTCATATTTCTAGTAGTCAGTTCCACAGTAGTACAACTCAGCCGCTTTCCCTGTTCGTGAAAAGACCTTCTTAAGAAGATATGTTTGATTTATAATATCTTTGCACCAACAAAAAAACTGAAGAGTTATGGTTAACAAATATCATTCGTAAATAATGAACTTGTACGAAAACAATAATAGTTTCAGCTTACCTCGTTGCTTTGACTTAAAACGATTTTAGCTAATCGAGTGAAAAACTGTTTAAAATAATATATAAGTTTATACTACTGGTATACATGAAAACCGTTTTGCTGGTCATTGTTATTGATATTTCTTTAATTGTCTTTTATACATGAAAACCGTTTTAAACTATTCATGCTGGTCATTGTTATTGATATTTCTTAAATTGTCTTTACAATGCTTTTGTTTAATTTTATATTTGTATGGAGGAGGGTGTATTACGAATTAACATTAAACAAGTCATGATACATTCTATTGTAGATTGTTTTATATTTCTTAACATTCTTGTTTTTAAAGTTACATTTTTTTGTAGGTGCTGGAAGTCTTGTGGTCAACTTGGTAACCTTGAGTTTAGGACTTGCATTTTATAAACTGTTTTAGATGTTGTACTTTAATAAAAAAAAAAAAAAAGAACAAAGACAATCATGGCGACAAGAATGATTAGACTAATATCAATTATTATTTTAAAACAAACGAAAATAGATTTAACAAAATATCACATGATACGTTTGATTCAATAGATTCATAGTCAATATGAAAGCTAATGAAATAACACATGGATTCACTAGTCTGCATCCATTAGTTATAGGTTGCACTTTGTAAATACAGCTGTTTCACAAGTCACCTCTTTTGGGGAGATATATAATATTCATAGATATGTTAATTTGTTAACGTACTAGTTCCCAGATATGATCTCTGTGTTTCATCTCATAAAGACATAACTTGGGAATGTTACCAGTATAGAAAAACATGGTAGCGCCTATAATTTAATTCTTAGGAGGTCCAAAAATGGAGGTAGGGCTAGTATAGAATTTTAGTATAAGTTTAAACTCTTAGAAGTTTAGGGCATATAAATGTTGAAAATATGCCGCACAGCCCTATATTTTGACCTTTGAATAAAATAGTAGTGCATATCAACTTTCCGTTCTGGGATATAATTTTTCACGAACCTTCACAGTTAAAGTGGCACAGTTTTAGCCGCAAAGGGAGTTCAAATGGGAAATTGCATGGTCTATATTTACAGAATTGCAACCTATAATGATTATTTAATTTTGAATGTAGTACGTGCATATTTAATCATATATATGTGACACTCTTAACTGTTTCGACCCCCTTAATCATTTCCGCCAAGCAGAAACTTGTTCATTTTGCTCTATTGTCTTCTTAAAATCACAAATATCCCAAACATGTCAAATTTCATATTATCCAAATGTTTCTGCTTATTTTCTCCACTCAAACGTGTTCTATTTTGACCTCGCCAAATCGTAAACAACAATTTTATCCGCCAAAACGTGTTCATTTTTAGACATCAGAACGTCTCATTTTTTTTAGCGCTTATATGTCTTCTGACACGTCAATAATGTCAAAACATGAGGGACTCGATTGAAAACATCAGGTGTTTTAAATTTACTAAAGTCCAAAGCCTAAAAATTCTAGACCTGCTATCCAATGAAATCGATACAGAGCAAGTTTGGGTTCAGCGTCCGGAAATTAAAGGAGGTACTGATTACCAAAAATAAAATCCACGAAGGCGACCTCTAAAGATTCCAGAGACGGTAATAAAAGTCGCGGAAGGGATATAAAAACAAATGCAAATAATTTCTTAACAAGGAATCTCGACGCAATGAAAATCTTAAAGTTAGTCAAAGAAAATGTTTACAAAGGAAAAAATAATAGCCCAACTTAAAAAAAACCTACAATGTTTATTTGTTTGCGTCTTCATTATGCCAAAACTATTTGTCGCTGGAAGTAAGCAATCAAATTAATTTTCGAAATACTAAGGCAATTCTACCTCAGGAATAGATTGCGTTAGCTGTATTTGGCAAAACATTTAGGAATTTTGGGTCATCAATGCTTTTCAACCTATTTTTTTTTTGCCCTTTTGAACTCGTTTTATTCGAGTGTCCCTGATGAGTTTTTTGTAGACGTAACGCGCTTCTGGTGTACACAATTTCAATCCTGGTATCTATGATGAATTTATCTATCATATCGACAACCATAACTTTCTATGATTTGTAGCTCAACTGGCCTTAAAGGTCAAGTGATATTTTGTCATCGCGTGGTCCTTCGTCCGTCGTCACCAGTCGTCGTCGTTAACTTTTACAAAAATCTTGTTGAAGAGCTATATGACCAAAAAGACCAAATATAATAGCCAAATTATCGAGGGCGTTGAAACCTGGTCTTTTCTAACAATTTCTAAATTTTTAAACGGACAATTAAAGAAAGGTTTGTTATAAATCATGTCAATACCACAGTTCGAACTACTGAGTTGATGATAACATCATAGACTGACAGTCCACTAACAGCGGTATTGACTCAGTGCTACAAAAAAAATGAAAACAGCACATTGTAAATTTCATGCGTCCGAAAGCGCTTTTCTGGATTTACATTCATCAGAAACGCTCAAAGCCGAACACTTTAGTGTCAAGGATGTATGAGAATCGAAACAGTTGAAGAGATATATGACCACAAAGGACCTAAAAATATATGCTAAATACACTGAAGTTCAACTCTGGCTGATCTAAAGATAAGAATTTGAAATAGAAAAACTGTTTTTTTAACTTCTATATTTCAATAATCTATTAAACTTGGCGTATTTGATTTAGAGCCATTCGAAATTGCAATTAATGGTTGTATTATTTTAAGTCATTGCTGTAGTAAATATTTTGTGAAAAAATGCTATAAACCAGGAATCATATCATATTCTTTTTATACTTACATTTCTTTTGGCGTTTAGAGTTGAATAAACCGGACATTTGCTTACACTGCATTTTCTTTGACATTGTTTCATCGTTCTGAAACAGGTCACATTCCGGTCTCGGTTTCAGTGAATTTTATTTTGCTTTATCAATTACACGAATAGGAAAAAGTAAAATAATAAAAATATCGAACTCCATGGAAAATTCATAACAAAAAGTGCATTATCAAATGGCTAAATTAAAAGCTCAAACACATCAAACAAATGGAAAACAAATGTCATATTCCTGCATTTCCATAGGTAGAAACCGGTGGATTAAGACTTTTATTCAAATATTCCAGTCAAATTCTACGACGCTCTCAGATGAAACAAAATTCAGATTTACCTAAAGAAAAAACGAAACTTTTCCTCTGAATGGACGTTTTCCTCTGAGCAGAAATATTGTGTTCATTTTACTATTGAAAAATGGAATAGGATGTCTATATTGTACATTCATTTTGTTCAAAGTAATATAATATCTAATAATTTCTTTGAACATCTGTGACATTTTCAAAACATATTTTGTATATGGAAAGAATAATTTTTACCGCTAAATCCTTTTGCTGGGGTAGAGTGCATAATGGCTTCTTTGAAAGGGACCTCCGTGGCCCAGTGATCTAAGTAGTTCATCTAATGTATCACTAGCATGTCAACACTGAGGATGTGAGTTTGAACATAGCACGTAAAGGATACGTTCAACTTCAATCTTTATTGACTAGGATTGTCAGTTTACCTGCCTAAGTTTGGTGTGTCTCAAAAATAACAACTGACCATCAAGATAAAGCCAATAGTACTCAAAGTGGCGTTAAGCAATCAATCAATTTGGAAATAAAGTAAAATAACGACAAAACTGATCTCCAAGGAAAATTCAAATCGGAAAGTTCCTTATCAAATGGCAATATCAAAAGCTCAAGCACATCAAAAGAATGGAAAACAACTGTCATATTCTTGACTTGGTACAGGCATTTTCTTATGTAGAAAATGGTGGATTACACCTGGTTTTATAGCTAGCTAAACCTCTCACTTGTATAACAGTCGCATAAAATTCTATTATATTGACATCGATGTGTGTAAAAATGATCCTTCTACGCGAAAAGTCATGATATATCGGATATCTAAACCTAAAACTAGCGAATACTTGGCCTTTTCTCAAAATTTAAGATAAAAGCTTTCTCTATTTTTTCTCTCTTTAATATTAACTATCTAATGTCTTTTTGTTTCATCAACATGTTTTAATGTACTAGGTGACTATAATTGTTGTATTTACAGTAAAAGCTATATTTTTTTTTTATATATGTGTACTATTACACGGAGCTTATATTACAGGTATGGAAATAATTTTTCGAAAAAGAGACCAATAGTTCCGATGAAAAGATTAATCCCCGTTACAATGAGGTTAAAATTTAGTGTGTATAGATTGATTTTGAATCGTTTATAATTTATCTCAGGGGCGTTAAACGGAAGCCAAGCTCATTTTTATCACCGCTTCTTTTTTGAAGGGAGAGTGAAAAAAATATGTAGATCTGGTAAGAATGATAACTGAGACATCTATCCACCAAAGTTCAAATGAAGTTGATGTTAGCAACTACAGGCAACCGCACGGCTTTCAACAATGACAAAAACCCATACCATTTAGTCGGTTATAAAAGGCCCCGACATGAAAAATAGGAAATAGTTCAATTGAGTTAATGGCTCATATATAACAAAAAATTACCAGACACAAGTATGACATACCTGAACTTACGACAACCACTGACTTAGGACAGACACATAAAGAATGTTTGGGTTAAACATGTTTGTAGGCGCCAACCCTACCCCTAACCTCGGACAGCGGTGCAACGACAAAACACAAGAATAAACTATCCCGCTAACATGTTTAACCCGCCACATTCTGTATGTATGTGCCTGTCCCAAGTCAGAAGCCTGTAATTCAGTGGTTGTCGTTTGTTGCTGTGTTACATATTTTTTTGTTCATTATTTTGTACATTAATTAGGCCGTAAGTTTCTCGTTTGAATTGTTTTACAATTGTCATTTCGGGGCCTTTTATAGCTGACTATGCGGTATGGACTTTGCTCATTGTTGAAAACCGTACGGTGACCTATACTTGTTAATTTCTGTGTCATTTGGTCTCTTGTTCTCTATGAATTTGTTTTTGTTTCATCGTGTTACTTATTATCTCTCCTGGATCGAAGGGCCATGTGAGCTTTCTCATAACTTGTCGTCCGTCGCGCATCTCTTCCATTCCCCGTTGCCTTCCGTCAGTGTCTATCGACGTCCGTTAACTTTTACAAAAATCATCTCATCTGAAACAACTAAGCTAACTTTAATCAAACTGGGCCACAATCATCATTGGGGTATCTAGTTTTAAAAAGATGTCCGGTGACCCATTTGGTCTACCAATATGGCCGACTTGGGTGAAATAGAACATTGGGGTTAAATGCAACTTTTGTCTATTATTTTGAAAACCGCTATTAACAGATTAAATCTGACAGAATAAAAATGTTCAAAATATTGCGAACTTATTGTTGTTCATATTTATCATAACTGTTAGATGACTTTTTATAGGAGCTAGTAACCTTAAATGACGAACTTTGCCAATCGTTTTATTTTTTTGTGCCTTTTATCTTGAAAACTATAATAGATTGAGAGAAACTTAGAATAATAAATATGATCAGCATGACAAAATCTACAAATAAATCAACATGACCAAAATCGTTCGATGACTTCTTATTAGAGTTATTGCTCTTTAATGACGATATTTACCCCATTTTTAGTATTTTTATCCATTATCCTGAAAACTATAATAGAAAGATAAAACATAAATAGCAACAGGATAACACGACAAGAACTATAAATATGTCAACAAGGCCTAAATCGTCCGACAACTCCTTATTGGAGTTATTGCCTTTTAATGACTTTTTTATCATTGTTTGCGCTTTTTTGCCTTATATCTTTAAAACTTGACTATTATACAAAGATAAAAAGTTAAATAAGCAAAAAAGATCAGCAGGACAAGCTCTAAGAATAAAATCCAATATCCAACATTGTTAGAAGATTCTTTATTGGAGTTATTGCTCTTTAATGACGATTTGTTTGTTTTTTTCGTTCATAATTTTGTACATAGATTAGGCCGTTTGTTTTCTCTTTTGAATTGTTTTACATTTGTCATTTCGGGACCTTTTACAGCTGACAGTGGGTTTTGTTCACTGTTGAAACTAACAACTTTAGGTCATCGAACGGCCTTCAACAATGAATAAAACCCTTGTACATAAATATCATCAAAGTATGTGTTGCATGCGACGCACTTATTTCCTGATGAATTTGGTATTTCGGTAATAGTTTTGTATGAAATAGGATTTTCTTATTTCTGCAAACGATCGTGCTTTTTCCAGAAGTTGATCATAAAAACTGTCTTGTGAATATTTCTAAAACGCATAAAATTGTCATCTGACGCAATACGGTATAACCAGTTGACTGACTGCTATTCGTTAATTTTTTAGTGAACACTCGATTTCAATTGTCTTTTAGGGAAACTCCCAGTATCAATATATTCGGTAAGATATTGAATAAGTCCATATGTTCTTAAAATGTCAATAACATCATGGATGTATCCATAGTGACGCGGCGATGAGAGTCTATGAAGAATGGAAAAAGTCGAACTAAAAATATTCTTCTTGAAAGATAAATGCTAGTTTACATACACAGTTTTTTGAAAAATGAACAATTTTCATTTGTGAATAAAACTCATAATCAGATGAATCCCATTGATGCTTTCACACATATAACATATGGTAGAAGTTTTTTAAAAGTGCTGAAATATGTTTGACAATGAAGTGATGAAAACAATCGAGTCGTTATATCACAGGATTTGAGGTTACTCCATGTTTCGCAACCATAAAGGACACTAGGTAAGACAACAGTTTTGTATAATCTAACTATTACAGACGGATTAGTTGCTCTTGGCATTACTCCTTTCATGCGTTTTCACCTTTTCTATATACATTGATAGCTCTGTCTTTAGTTTTTAATCGAGAACTAACTTCTATACCTAAATGTGCGTAATTGTCAGATTATTTCCCATACACGAGTGGAAGTTCACATTGCTGTCTCTTGTAATCACGGAGAATTGCATAATACTTGATTTGCTGGCGTTAAAACAAAACATCCAATTTCTAATTTCTGGAGTACTCGAAACACATAATTTCGCGCCGAAGAGACAGCGGGGCGTGGCAATACATGACATGTCATCAGCAAAAACAGGTGCACAGCAATTAATACTGTATACACCTGTGTTTTGATTGCATTTGTCAATTTCAAATATTAAATCATTGATAAACACTAAATACAATAAACCAGAATGCAGACTGCCTTGTCTTACACCTTCCAAAACTGGAAAAAAAATTTGACTGATGTTGGTTAACAACTTTAGCACTCTTTGTGTTTGTATGAAAGTCATTGAGTATTACCCATAATTTACCGTTCACACCTAGTTGAAACAATTTGAACATAGAACCTAGTCTCCAGACCATATCAAATGCCTTTCTACTATCTGTATAAAAATCTTACTACCATCATTTTTTCTTAAAATGTCCTGTACCAGGTCAGGAAAATGGCAGTTGTTATCTTATAGTTCGTTTCTGTGTGTGTTGCATTGTCGTTTGTTTTTTGTTCACTTCAGTGTTTCTGTTGTTTCGTTGTCTTCCTCTTATAGTTGATGTGTTTCCCTCGGTTTTAGTTTGTAACCCGGATTTGTTTTTGTCTCAATCGATTTATGACTTTCGAACAGCGGTATACTACTGTTGCCTTTATTTACTATACTTTCAAGATTATGGAAAATTGTCTCATTAATCGATTAAGGAGATATATCAAGGTAACAATCCAAATCATGGGAATCTCAGGAACTTCAGTTTAAGCAAGAACGGATGCCTCATCAGGGTAAGCGTTTCATGCTATGCATGGATCACCCGCCAGGCGAATCCTCGCTCAGTTAAAATGTCATAATCGATATAGGACACAGAGAAGACAACTAATCCGTTATCTTAAGATCTCAGACTGCGAAAACATGTCGAGTGAGTAGTGCCACATATTTTTTTGCATCGGTCGACCAAATTGTGATGTTGACTTATGAAGTCTCGTTCTTCTTCGTAACTTTGTTGGAGCAGTTTTTGAGAATGATTTTTTTACAAGGAGGTTATGTACTTTGATATACAAATAAGAAGATGTGGTATGATTGCCTGAGACAACTTGCCACCAAGTACAAAGGTTACCTACAGAACCACCAGAGAGTTGTTACAAGGGTTATTCAACGAACAGGGAGCGTGGCTGTCAACCTACACGAAGTATTTGATGGGATTACCATATTTTAATGCCGCAGTCAACCATTGGGGTGCATTAGGGAATTCAAATGAGGACGTTTATTATCAAGTTTGGCGACCTTTATAATCAACGAAATTCAACTTCAATACCCTCGTAAATTACGCTGCGTATTCTCAGAGTCCTTGTAAATGACGTCTGGACCATAATTGTTCACTAAATTAAAAACAAATTGTTAAACTGATCCCTTGATATGTTGTCCATGTAAAACTAATATCAGCACATCAAAGACACAGGTTTTGGGTTATTAATTTTAAAATACAGGGTGGTTCATATTCGAAGTTGTCGACACGGTAACTTGTGTTTACCATACAAGCGATAGACCGACGATCCAAATAAGAAAAAAAAGCGTTTCCATGGCGTATCTAATAACGCGGCACGAAAAGATTAATAGATATCAATGATGAACAATATGACAGTTCTACATAAGAACTATTCAATAAACAATTTAAAAAAACTCAGACATTATAAAATATCTAATATTCTTAGTTTTAATATTTTTATAATCTTCTTAGCTTGGAAAAGTAATCTGCAGATTAGATACTTGACATCTAACACATTACAAGGAATTTCATTTTTGTGTCAATTCTTTAATTCAGCTCTTTATATAATTGATATAAAATATTCATGATCAGAGTCGATTCAAGTTTTACAATGAACCGGTTAACATTGAAAGGTCTTTGCCTTTTACAAAACATGTAAAATTTAAAATTTTTTGTCAAAATGCCTTCAACATATAGCGCTGAAATAAATTTGGTTTAATCGTAAATTTATAGAATTGTAAAAACATGTTTGAAGTACATGATTAAAGCTTCAATATTCAAATTCTAATATAATTTAACATCTTTTAGATGTTGACCGTGTTATTGCCCTTGGTTTCGATTTTGATTTCGGTTCATGGGGAAGAAGTCTGTT